AGTTCATGATTTGTTTGTGGTTGATCAACTGTGGATGGATCTAGAATTGGTTGATCAATCAAGACACGTGTAACAACTTGATCAGATAATCGTTGAACAAGTTGAATAATATCAATATCCATAAAATCGTCACGATTATCGGTTGCAGCTGCTGTAGTGTTACAAATCTCATCCATGGTATCATTTACAACATCAGTCTTCGCACTCGCAACTGGTGTTGGTAAGCTTTCTTCATCTGAAATTCCACTTTCCTGCACGATTTTCCAATATTCTGAATGTGAACGAGGCTCTTGTCCAAACATAATTTGATATGGTGTAGCCCATGTCGATAGGTTCGCTATCAGCACGCGTACGTCGCACTGGTACGGCTTACCTCGCGTGCGGTATGCATACCGTACGCGTACTAGCGAGATCTTCTGTGTCGAACGCGGACCATTAGTAAGTCTCCAATATGGAGATCTGTATTTGAACAATGGCGACAAAGAAGTATAAATACAGCTGGAAACTTCTCATTTTGAACGGAATTTTATTTTGAAAAAAAGTTTTTTTTTCCTCTTTTTGAACAATAAAAAAGTGTTTCTAGTGAATTTTTATTAATTTAATTATTAAAAAATTTATAAGTTCTTTTTTAGATAGATTTTAAAAAGTTTTTTTTTGTGAAAAATCTGAAGTTATATATTTTTTAGGCTATTGAAAATTATTATTAGTGTCAAGATTTATTTTTGACAGTAGTATAATGGTTTAATATATTTTATGTAATATTTTTATATTTTTTTGGAAAATACTTATATTTTTTTGTAACTTTTCTAATACTTTTTTCTACATCTTTGAATTTTTTTGTGATACAGTTTCAATTTTTTTAATAAATAAATTTAGTTGCAGTAAGGACGCAACAAATAGAATATATTCTCAAAAAAAAGCTATCGGATTGAAAAAAACCAGGTATAAAGAATCCTTATGGTTATCGTATCGTATGAGCAATATGAGTCATTTAAAGAAATTAACCAATAAGAAAATTACTAAAGTGCATTAATGCACTTGCGGTATGCGTACGTCCTGCTGGAGGTACGCTCTCGGAACGCGTACGGTCCGTTTGGTACGCGAACGCCGCGTGACAGCGGTACGCATACCGAAGAAGTGTACCGTACGCGTACTGTTAGCGAACCTATCGACATGGGTAAATAGTGGAATCAACGATGTCGCTAATGTGCGGTCATATACTTTTGGTTTTGACGCATGCAGAAAAATGTGCTTTACCAAATGGGACTAAATGCTTTGCAAAGATTTCGACTTCTACTTTAATCATACAGGTTGACCGTTACGCAAACAAGCCGTAAATCTATAATGTTTACGTTTATTGTTAGAGAGTACATGGCATGAGTGCTGTTAAAAAACATAAATTAGGATCAATAATAAATAGAGATCGATTTCATATTAAAATTTGAATTTTACAAAGAAATCAATTAAATATCTCTCACTATATTTTAATTTACAATACATAAAGTGTGTTTTTTTTACATTTTAATCGAACAATGTGTTGAATCAGTTACTTGTCATTAGGACTTTTATCTAAAAATAATGAATAATACGTTAAAAGCACAGGTAAATACTATGAGTCATTAAAAACATACCTTCTGATATAAATACAGGAATAAAAACCGTGTTATTTCACAAAGTACATTCTCTCAATCACATGATGACTCAAATAAAATTGGAATTTTTACCAAACGAAATCTTATTTCAATGTTTTAATTATCTTAATATTATCGATATTTATTATTCATTCGATCAATTAAATCATCGATTTAATTCTCTTATTCGAACTATTCCATTTGACTTGAACTTCACAAATATTAAAAACAAATATCAATGTGATGAATTTTGTCAAAAATTATCAACTGATGAAACAATTCAAAATCAACTTTATTCATTATATTTATCAAATGAAAATACATGTTATCCAATTCATTTATTTCTTTCAAAATGTTCACTTTTACAATTTCCACATCTTCATTCATTAACTTTACATAAAATAAGACAAAATAGTTGGAAATCTATTCGTTCAGTATTATCATTAATACCTAAATTATCTTCTTTTCAAATGATTGATTTTCGTATATTACTTGATGTTGAATTTTCTGTACTACCTATATTACAATTAAATACATTGATTATACCTGCACAACCACTTCCAGGATCGATTTTTGATATTGAATTCTCATGTATTATGCATTTATCGATTAATTCATGTAAGTTAAATGATCTATTGATTCTTTTCAAGAATGCACCAAAATTAAATCATTTCAAAACAGACTATTTACGAACCAATAATACAGATGTAACAACAAATATCTCTGATTATATTAATAGTCATGCAAATAATCTTAAAACATTACATATTCATCACATTGATTGCAGTGTTTCTAATCTTTTTACTTTGTTAAAAAGAACGCCAAATTTGAAGAATTTAATATTACTAGAATCTAGTGATGTAAATATCATCAATGCTAATGCATGGCAAACTTTGATTACATCTTCTTTATCTCATTTAAAGAATTTCAAATTCAACTTTTATGTCGATGTTTTCCCACACCCTAATCTTATTAATGAACAGAATTTCAAGGAATTTCGAAACGATTTTTGGTGTAAGGAACATTATTGGCACACAGAATACACCATAAGATCATCTTCAGCATCAATTTATACCATACCGCATCCATGTGATTCATTTGGATTTCATCACTGTGGACAAAGATACCACAGTGAAGCAATTACTCACACACATACATTTAATAGTGTAAAAGATTTATTACTTCGTCCTGAAGACTTGACAGAAAACAATGAATATTATTTTGCTAATATTGATTTATTGTCACTTGGAGAACCATATATTTACCAAAATGAATATATTGAAATAAATTATTCACATTTAAAACATCTTCAAACGATGGTTAATTTATCGCATATCAAACATTTGATTCTCTTATCTAATTTAAAATTTGAAACATCAAATATATTAAAAGAAATAGTGAAATCTACAACCCAATTGACTTCATTAAGTATCGATTATTCTCTTTTACAACCATGCTTGAACGATGATGAATTGTGCAACTATTTAAACAGAACTATTAAAAAATTGAATATCCGTGATGATCCATTGAAGATTTCAGATCAATTGAAACATTTCTGTAAAGTATTCTCAAATCTAGAACAACTCAAATATGATACAAATGAATCAAATATTTTATTTTTAACGAAACATTTACTCAAATTAAAATATATGGAAATTCAAGTATTTTTATCTTCTAATCAGCGGTATTGGATTAATGAAGAAGTAGAAAAACTTCCTATAGATACAACTATTGACTTTAAAGATCATGGTAATAACTTTTTTAGTTTGTTCATTTGGATATATCGAAAGTAGATAGATGTATTATATAACTAACACAAATAGAACATTAAGGAGAATATGCTAGATTTTCTTTTTATTGATGAATACAGTTTGGAGAAAGGTCATTGAGAGAGGGGGATGAAATTCGCCCAGATGGACTTATAAAAACTAACATCACGAAACTTTTCACAATTCATTTTTATGTCATTAGAAATACTAAAATGCAGTTGAAATCATTAAAAAGAATGGAAGGGAGGGTTTCTACGCGAAACTTCATTCACGTCGTATCAAATTTCAATTGTTATAATTTCGGGGAAAGCTTGCAGAATTTGTTACAATTTTGAGGATTTTTGTTTGATACTATTACTCTCCCTCGAGGAACACTATTTCGGCGATACACTCCGATTCTAATCATTCATATGTCATTTGATAGACTACATTCATCTAGTGAAAATCCCAAAATATTATCGGCCACCAGTTCATTCTTGAGACGCTATAACCAATATAATGATTTTTGAAGGATCGTGGCTTAGCAGATTTACTTAAAACGGAAACACTAAATAGGAGATACAGAACTTACCGATCATAAGCGGTTTTAATTTGTCTGTACCCTTCATGTTGCTACAAAGCAGAACTGTGAAACGTTCTTTGAATCTTTGGTCGTAACAAGCGAACGATTAGATAGTGCTTTGAAGAATAATCCAGTTTCGTCGGCACTGTAAATGTCATTGGGATTATATTTGTCAATAATTACCACCAGCCGCTTTTTCCACTCGTCAACCGTTGCAGGAACGACTGATGCTGATTCACCATTGATAGTTCAATATTTTATACCATGGCGTTTGCGAAACTTTTCTAACCAACCATTACTGGCTTTGAAATCGTCAGCATTTGAACCACATAGTTGTTGACTGAACTCATTACGTAGATTACGCTTCTTGTCTGAATTTTCATTTTGCTCATAATTGTCAATGTATTCAATTTTGCGCTTAACAATATTTGAAACACTTCCGATCAAAATGTTGTAATCGTCAGCCAATTTACGATAAGATATATTTTGTTCGTTTTTACGAATCAACTCTACTTTTTCAGCAAGTGTTAAGCCGCGTCTTGCTGCCATCTGACAAGTGTGAATAGAAACGAGTGATGTTCTCAAAGACACAGGCAACTAATTCGTTATTGCCTATTCATTCTTATTGTTTTTTTTTTGTTCTATACATGCGACATATCAATTACAGATGAACTTTTGACTATCGTTAATCTTTTATTTTATGCGTGCGACCATTTTTAAAATAATAAGTAGCCCGTCAATAAATTTAGCGATCATTGCTTCAACATGTACAAGATTTGTCCTCGATTTTTATTTTCTCAAACGCATATTTTCATTATATAGAGGTTTTTACTCTTGAGGCCAAAAAAAGTGTTCACTATATAGAGGTTTGTTTAAAGCAAAAAGCGGTCGGGCGGTTCAGTTTATCCGTTCAAATGAGAGGTATTCACTGTATGTATATATATATATATTAATTAGCAATGGTTCTGGTTTGAATTTCTGATGTAATCGTCAAAAGTTTCATTTTAATCTCTTGAATACTGCCATCTTCACACTGAGGACAAAAAAAATTTTTTCGTTCTGACATATCAGGATTATTTTCTTGAACATGATCGGCTTTTGCTGAAAATATCCCCACTGAACCCGCAATTAGGCAAGCGAAACTAAAAAAATCTAAAATAGTGTGTAAAACGAGAACAATAACAAAAAAGACCGTGCCAACCATTTTATGATATGAATAAATACATTGAACAATAAACAATTAATTCTAAATCCACGACAGCGTATATAATCACAAGAGAAATAAGAACAGTAAGTTAAAGAAATATATTTTGTTCTGTTTCCAATCAAGCGAACATTCGATTTCGATTTTCTTATATTGGAAAATCATGGTGTCTCCTTTCAGATGATGTCAAACTAAAAATCTATAGAGTGATTGTATTTGTAACTTTTGGTAGTCTTATAAAACTTCCTGAGTTCTATTTATTACTTAATAAGTGAAATAAGGGTAGCTATGCCCAATCGATATGGAAATATATGTGCGTATCTATACTGGTCAGTTTCCATGACTCACGTGATCATGCGTCATGTTTACATGATGTAAAAGAGAGAAGATATTATATCACATATGATATCGTGAGTCATGATAGCATGAACATATGATTTATGGCTGAGACTGATTTAATGTTTTCATACTAACAGTATTAGCTAATGAATCAGATTCTGGTATTGATCTTATACCCTAGGCGAACTTTTTTTTAACCATGCTTGAGCCAGACAGATCTCAAGATGTGTCATGATCTCTTGAGTTTCTTTCCATTGAGAAGCACTTGAATGCTTGCATGAGTCATGCACAGATAAATTACATGTAATTTGCGAAATGCATAAGAATCACATGAGCCAGACAGTTACGCGCATGAAAGTCAAGAATAAAGAAAATGATGTTCAATACGATTTATGATGTGGAAATGCTAGGTTATCTACTATTTATTCTCGAGGCAATACATTTATTTTAAAATACGAATATATAAGCCAATTGATCATCAATGTGTTTAGAAAGATGTATAAATATCATAACTGAAGATGCAATTAAAGTCCATTTTCCATGGTCAAATATTATTCTCATCATTTTGAGAATTTCGAAAGCTTTGTCCAATCAAGTTTCATTTATTGTCATGTTTTAACTGGCGAACAGATTCGTTTTGAGTACTAAGTGAAGCGCTAGTCAATGTTGAATACTCCATTGCTAATGTATCCTGAACTGATTGATCTATATCCCCTCGAAGGTTTTCGTTCGCATCACGAGTTGAGTTCTCGATGACTGCCTGAAATAATCACAGAGAATAGCATAATGTAAAAACTAAATTACCGAAATTGATGCTAAGATCGGTTTAAATTCTTTTACTTTTGCAAAAGACCGAGCTTATCCTTCATATTTCAAATTGATTTGTCGTCTAGAAATTCGATTTACTATGTATAAAGCACAAAAAAAAAAATAAATCAGATATTCCTAATGAATTCTACTGATAAATCAATATCCTATGTAATACTACTTCGTACTGTTTCGACTCTGCTAGTCTATACGAAACAAAAATTTGTTTCTGTTAGACCCTCCCAATGTTATTCGTTTTTCGTATATAAACAAATCAGCATACGTCCTTTTCCTTTTATCATGTGTTGTGATGTAATCCAGGCATATTCTCTTTTTTCCCCTATTCTGCTTCTCTATGTATTATGTGTAAAATGGAGATAAGCAAACGATGCTTACTGTTATTCGTATTGGAAAAAGTGTTAAGAGCAGTAAGAAAAGAGCTGATTTCCAACAATATTCAAGTGCATGACGTGTGCTTGATTATGTACTGACCACATAAATCAAGAATTGTGTGTAANGTATTAGCTAATGAATCAGATTCTGGTATTGATCTTATACCCTAGGCGAACTTTTTTTTAACCATGCTTGAGCCAGACAGATCTCAAGATGTGTCATGATCTCTTGAGTTTCTTTCCATTGAGAAGCACTTGAATGCTTGCATGAGTCATGCACAGATAAATTACATGTAATTTGCGAAATGCATAAGAATCACATGAGCCAGACAGTTAAGCGCATGAAAGTCAAGAATAAAGAAAATGATGTTCAATACGATTTATGATGTGGAAATGCTAGGTTATCTACTATTCATTCTCGAGGCAACACATTTATTTTGAAATACGAATATATAAGCCAATTGATCATCAATGTGTTTAGAAAGATGTATAAAAATCATAACTGAAGATGCAGTTAAAGTCCATGTCCCATGGTCAAATATTATTTTCATCATTTTGAGAATTTCGAAAGTTTTGCCCAATCAAGTTTCATTTATTGTCATGTTTTAACTGGCGAACAGATTCATTTTGAGTACTAAGTGAAGCGATATTCAATGTTGAATAGTCCATTGCTAATGCATCCTGATCTGATTGATCTATATCACCTCGAAGGTTTTCGTTCGCATCACGAGTTGAGTTCTCGATGACTGCCTAAAATAATCTCAGTGAATAGCATAAAATGAAAACTAAATTACCGAAATTGATGCCAAGATCGGTTTAAATTCTTTTACTTTTGCAAAAGACCGAACTTATCCTTCATATTTCAAATTGATTTGTCGTCTAGAAATTCGATTTACTATGTATAAAGCACAAAAAAAATAAATCAGATATTCCTAATGAATTCAACTGATAAATCAATATCCTATGTAATACTACTTCGTACTGTTTCGACTCTGCTAGTCTATACAAAACAAAAATTTGTTTCTGTTAGATATCCTCCCAATGTTATTCGTTTTTCGTATATAAACAAATCAGCATACGTCCTTTTCCTTTTATCATGTGTTGTGATGTAATCCAGGCATATTCTCTTTTCCCCCCTATTCTGCTTCTCTACGTAACATGTGTAAAATGGAGATAAGCAAACGATGCTTATTGTTATTCGTATTGGAAAAAGTGTTAAGAGCAGTAAGAAAAGAGCTGATTTCCAACAATATTCAAGTGCATGACGTGTGCTTGATTATGTACTGACCACATAAATCAAGAATTGTGTGTAAGTGAACAAGAAGGTCAAATTCTTGAGCAAATTTCCTGTCATCAAATCTTGACTCCAGATATGTCATGATGGTATGACATTCTGGAGTCAGAATCGTCTGTTTCTCATGCTCATGGCACAAGAAGTTTGACTAGGGTATGCATTAAATTTTCAAATACGCTATATTCTGCACTCAATTATGATCGAGCGACATTGCGTATGAGAAGACATATTTGGAATTGGTTGATTTACCCCTTTGCGGAATAATAATCGTTAGACTCAAAATAAATAAATTTAATTTCTTCAAAAATCCAATGAAATGGTTAAGTAATAAAATATTATCTTTATGTAAATCCAAGTGACGATATTATGTTTGTATAAAAGACAATCATTGGTAACATGATATCTACTTATTGTTATCACTTCGACAGAGATCTCTCTCTCATAATTTGTCTTCTAAATTCACTCTATTTTACTTGAATCTACACTTTAGTTTTAATCAACATCAATGAAATATTTTCGATTTAGTGACAATACAACATTGAATGAAAAACTTTTTGTTTGATTGTAAAAAACACTTTCAAAAGTGCTTTTCGAAATATTTCTCCACCAAATAATGTATAAATATAAAATGGTATTCCATTTGCCAAAAAATTCAATAGTAAAGTAAAATTATAGGCAAAATTATCGATTGCTGTTTGTAGTTGTGATGTTGGTCGATTAATTGTTATTGTCGCATATAATTTTTGTACACCCAATGGAAGACCAAATATAAACAGAAGTAAGATTTGTGCAAGTAACATCATCACTAGACGATAATCCGATTTACTTAAACTAGGTCGTTGTCTTTCTCCAATTGATATTTGATTAGTTTCCATGGGAAAATCTGTTGGTCGAACTTTCTTTCTTGAACTTTGTATATTTCGAATGGTCATTAAACCAAATATAAACATGAGTACTATAGGAATGAGAGTACTTCCAAATGTAAATAATATATCAGTGACAAGACGACATGTTACTGTTACTCCATAACATTTCAATGGCGCATTCACAAGATTTGGTTCATAACAATAAAGAATATGAGCAAAGAGAATTATTGATAAGATTGTTATAATAATCATACTTCGTTTCGCATTTTTCAATGTATTCATTCGTCGATAATAAGCATTAGGATTGGATAATAACCATCGATCAATAGCTGCTAAAAGAATTAACCAAAATGCAATTGGTCTTGCAACATTGAGAATAAAAGCTCGAAGTTTACAAAGAAATCGATCTGTATTTGTTAAATCAACTATCCATCCGGAAAATGTTCGTGAAAGGAGACCAGATAAAATTGCAATTAAATTTGCAAATGATGAAAAAAGAAAAAGAATTGCACATGAATTTGAACGAAATATTCGTTGAGATAAAACACAAATATTCAAAAGATTTCCAATTGTTCCAAAGAGAAAAATTACAATGGAAAAATAACGATTCATTTGAATTGAAAGATTATTTATATAATCTTCAGTAGGTGACATCTTAAAAATATTTTGTAGATCTAAAACAGCCGAAAGAAAATGTTTTATCACATTGAATATTCAATTTTTCAATGTTGTATGTATGTACGTTGCAAAAGTCGTGCTACCTAATCCTTTTTTGCTTTTATTAAAGAAAAAAAAGAGGCTATGCTGAGATGAATGTTCTTAGTTTTCATTGCGAAGATTATTATGTTGAAAAGACGTACGTGTGATCGAATGATGATTTAAGGTCACAAAAACGCTTGTTCCTCTCAGAGAGATAATGATGTGTTAGATAATTTTAATATGAAAACTATCGAGGAAAGATCGTTTGATTAAATAGAGTTCTTTCAGAAGCTATTTTTTCTTTGTTAAACACACAAGAGGAAAGTGTCAAGATAAATTTTTCATCACAAATTGCCCAAAAAAGAATATTTAATTCTTGTTCTTTGTTTCTCTTAATGCGTCACTCGTCAATGAGATTTATTTTATCATTTATCGTAAAAAGTACACATTACTTCTCAATTTGAACTTTATCCTTATGAAGATACTTTCTTGTCATCAAAAATTTTAATATTTCATTAAATCTCAAATTAGATTGATTAATGTTACCGCCTACTTCATGTTTTATATTTCATTTGTGATTTTAATCTTGCTCGGAGAAAAGATGCCACTCATTTACTTACATGGACATGACGTTTTGTTGATTGAAAGAACAGACATTAGGTCGTTAGTCTCTGAAGTTTTATTTAATGAACATTTCAACATATGATAAAATTCTGACGCTCAACAATACAAACGATCCCTTTAAACAACTTGAAATCGTTTAATTCGATGATTGAAAGTAATAGCGAATATACATGACTGTTTCTTTTAATATAAACTCTCGACGGGTTATTTAGAGAAAAGGAATTCATTTTTTCTAGAATACACATATATCCAGCAGTACCTTTAATACCTTCAGCAACGGTTGATTCAGGAAATGTAAATTGTATATTAGTGATCTTTACAACATAATGATTAGGATGAATGGGTACATTGTACGGGATATTAAAAAACAATTCCATCTGCCCAATTCTGTGCAACAGAATTAATTACAATGATTGAAGGGTTTCTTATTCGATTAAGAAAAATCGATTCTATTCGTTACACTTTTGAATATTTTTGTCATACCACTCGCAATTGTTGTACCAATGAATGATGGAAGTTCTAAGAGAATTCAAAAAGAAAATCAAAATCAAATATGGAAGAAGAGGAACGACGTCAACATCGATATATTTTGTTGACAAAATAATCGAATCAATGATGAGTTTGATCTGAATATCAATAGGTATTCGATGGACACATCCATGTAGATTGAAATCACCTTGAAATAATCGACATTGATTTAATACAACTTTATTGATAGTAAAGGCTCGATAAAGAATATTTTTATTACATAAAATTAAACGAGCTTTTAATGAATTTATTTGTTGAATAGATTCTGATAAAATTGAGAACTCTTGCTAGAAGCAACTTGCACACAAACTATAACTTAGGATATATCATACCTAACTATCATACTCCGAGCTAAAAAGTTTTCTGACACCTTGGGTGGTTCCCTCGTTAGACAGTGATAAAGATTTTGTTTAGTTTTTTTTCTTGTTTCGAGGCCTGTCCAAAATCTGTATCGAAAGTCAATATTCAATCAGCTTTCACACAAAATACAAGTACAATATTTTCTCTTGTTAGAAATGATGAGTTTCTTAGTAAAAAAAACATTAGTTACGGTGGAAAATTAACTCTTCGCTGACGCACTATTATTTCTTCATATGCTACTTTATTTTCATCCTACGCACAAAAAAAAACAGCGGATATGCGTTAAAGAGAAAGCAACAGTTTAGTCAACAAATTAGCGATGGAAGTAATGAGATAAAACTATCAGTTGTACGTGAGATTTTGTCAAGCGCGAGAAAAAAGAGAATGATCCGCTTCAAAAGATTACATTTATCATCTCAGGAAACGTCGAGTGCGTTTCCCAAAAGTATTGTTATTTCAGTTTTGTATGGTTGTATATTGTGATGCTATGTCGAACATAAAGCGCTTCGATTAGTGTCTCATATAACAACACGTTCTGCCAAAGAAAGAGAAAGAAAGCTGTGATGCTTGTTTTTCAGTAAAAAATATAAAACTTTTATACACTTTCGCATTGTTCATCTTGTGTGTAAAATGACGTAGAATAATATTAATTTTTTTTGTTATAAAGTGTCATCACACTTGAACGAATAAATGAGTGACTTTACTACTTTATTCGAAACTCTATAAGATTCTGACAATACCAGATTATCTATCGATCTTTATATCTGACTATTGTCGGACAGATGCTGGTATTTAAATAAAATGACGTTTGTAAAGAAAAACATGTTCTACCATTTGTCCAAAAAAATTAGTTCTATTTCCAAAGTGATATTTTCACGTTTTCAGCTCTGCATCTGAATAACCGGACAGATTCTCGAACCTTGTGAAGTTGAGAATATTTGACTGTGCTGCAGATTGATGGAAAAAAAACTTCACATCTTTTCAACACGTCAGCATTCATACTTTTCGGGCGATTAGTTTACAAGTAGAAATCTTTGCAATTAGAGAAATAAAAATTGTTGACCTGAACGTCGTTTTTCTTCTAGAAGTATTTTTCGTATTAATTAAAATATTGTCAAACTTTTAAATCGTATTTCATAAAACCAATCTGTTAATTTGAAAGACTCGACATTTTTATTGAAGAAACCAAGATGCAATGTATCACATTAGTTTTGAGAAAAATTAAGAATGTTGCTGAATGGAATGCTTTTAAAGATGCTACCTGCCGTACGGATCCATTTCATTTGCGCACCGCAATCATTTCAGCTAGTGTCTATGTTGCTCTTCTGTCAATCTCTGTCATCATTTTTGCCACGTTCACCTTTTTAGACAGTTGAGCTCAAATTACACAACGATGCGGACAGATTCGTTCCAACTTACTACTTTGAAAATCTCGACTCGTATCTATATCATTCTTTTGTGATACGTATGTGTATTATAATTCTTTTCACATGGTTAAATGGTTATCTAAAAAATATGACAGAAAAAAATTCGTCACAAGCCGCCTTTGAATACTTACAGAAAAAGTATCCAAGATCACTTCAATGCCCATGCAGTGAGATTACCATTCTTCATGGCTCATTTATATCCATGTTTCCTCAATTCATCCGGTGTACACGAGTTCGTTTATATCTGACCAATGGATCGCCGTTTTATTCAGAACAGGTACGGTTGACATTGTCTCCATTACTACAGACATCTTTATAGTTGGACATAAATATTTTACCGCTCTGACCGGTTTATGTAAACTGGTCCAAACAATTGTTTTTGACGCATCGTTTATTTTCAAGCAATTACTGTTAATTATCGATCAATTATTATCAGATACCGAATTCATAATTCGCACAAACCAGACATTCAATCAATGCAAGTCAAACACAATATCTGAATTCAAAGGTGCTCTTGCAAGGATTCAGTCGTTGACAACGACTGTGTATACAGCAGGAGAAGGAGATGTCACATGAAATCAGTCTTCTTGGATGAATAGAACAACAATGACATATTTTCAATCAATACCAGTTCAAATAGGTAACTGCTCCTGTGCATTGACTGATGAATGTAAGGAACCGTTGGTCATGTTTGACTATACTAACTCAGCCAACCTTCTTGCACTCGGCGTGAAATTCACTCTCCCTAGTATGTTTGTAGGTTGTTTTCCCTTTCAATCTCTTTTCCAATCATCACTCGAATGTATTTTTAATCAAACATGTTTGAATACTGTGCAAGTCAAAATGAAAATACTTCACTATGCGACTTTTAACCCGTTGATTAATGTAACGATATTACAAATAAATTCTACGAAGTTTTCTCCTAGCACGTCTGTTCAAGAACTAATTAATAAAATTATGATCGAGAGCTGAAATTATAATATTTTCTACAATCAATATTATGCGCAATGTGCGCCAAAACATTGTTCTTATTTTATTACATCAAGTAACAATGCACTCTATGTATTCACTACAATGATTGGTTTGTTTGGTGGATTATCCGTTGCTCTTAAAATTCTCGTTCCGTTAATTGTTGGTTGGATACGAAATAAGATGCGCGTCAAAACCGAAACTATAGTAGTACTTGTGAGAATTAGTTCTATTCTTCTACTTAAAAAGCAAAATAGCATCGACATATTTGATAAAGAAACTGTTCAATGAAATGAACACACGCTCGTATCTTACGACTACGTAGTACGTATCAGAAGTTGCTTCTTTTTTTAAATTTCAGTTTCATTTACATGTCATGAGCGTGCACATGCTCTTTGGCGTTGGATTAAAAAGAAGACCGTATCTATCTTCTTCTTCTCACTTTTGCTATTGGAATTATCATCGTTTATACTATAGCTATTGATCAGACACAAACTATCATAGTGAAGAATCCTTCTCAAACGCGTTTTGAAAAGCTCGTATCCAATCAAGGAAACTTGCCCACACTCGATTGTCCTTGTCAAAACATTCATACTCCATATCAGTCCTTTATGTCGATCTCTCCACATTACCATCAACTTTGTTCAAGTGATTTTGTCGTTGAAAATTGTTCATGGATCAATTTCGTTCATTACAAATCAGGTCCTGTCAACTAATCGCATGAAGATTATCGTCTTTTTGTTCTACCTCATTTTCGATTGTTTTATCACTTGTGTGCTTTAGCTAATGACGCGGTTGTCGAGGTCTTGCGTATATTCCATTCAAACAAACTCATCAGTAAACGAGCATTGTCGCGTCAAGTTGTTGAAGCACAAGTGAAATCGGTGGTTAATCAGTTTCGTCTCTCGATAACACAAACATTTATACGTATGCTCGACTTTATTCGGCAGATGGCTCAAAGAAAGGGTTTAGTCTCATCTATTTCCTTCAACTGGTTTGTCCTACCACCGTATATAACAACAACTGTGGTAGCGATAGGATCTCGGTCATATAGCGTCAATAATTATTCATGTGGTNTCTTGTCATCAAAAATTTTAATATTCCATTAAATCTCAAATTAGATTGATTAATGTTACCGCCTACTTCATGTTTTATATTTCATTTGTGATTTTAATCTTGCTCGGAGAAAAGATGCCACTCATTTACTTACATGGACATGACGTTTTGTTGATTGAAAGAACAGACATTAGGTCGTTAGTCTCTGAAGTTTTATTTAATTAGCATTTCAACATATGATAAAATTCTGATGCTCAACAATACAAATGATCCCTTTAAACAACTTGAAATCGTTTAATTCGATGATTGAAAGTAATAGCGAATATACATGACTGTTTTTTTTAATATAAACTCTCGACGGGTTATTTAGAGAAAAGAAATTCATTTCTTCTAGAATATACATATATCCAGCAGTACCTTTAATACCTGCAGCAACGGTTGATTCAGGAGATGTAAATTGTATATTAGTGATCTTTACAACATAATGATTAGGATGAATGGGTACATTGTACGGCATATTAAAAAACAATTCCATCTGTCCAATTCTGTGCAACAGAATTAATGACAATGATTCAAGGGTTTCTTATTCGATTAAGAAAAATCTTATAAGAAAAATTGATTCTATTCGTTACACTTTTGACTATTTTTGTCATACCACTCGCAGTTGTTGTACCAATGAATGATGGAAATGCTAAGAGAATTCAAAAAGAAAATCAAAATCAACTATGGAAGAAGAGGAACGACGTCAACATCGATATATTTTGTTGACAAAATAATCGAATCAATGATGAGTTTGATCTGAATATCAATATGTATTCGATGGACACATCCATGTAGATTGAAATCCCCTTGAAATAATCGACATTGATTTAATACAACTGTATTGATAGTAAAGGCTCGATAAAGAATATTTTTATTACATAAAATTAAACAAGCTTTTAATGAATTTATTTGTTGAATAGATTCTGATAAAATTGAGAACTCTTGCTAGAAGCAACTTGCACACAAACTATAACTTAGGTTATATCATACCTAACTATCATACTCCGAGCTAAAAAGCTTTCTGACACCTTGGGTGGTTCTCTCGTTAGACAGTGATAAAGATTTTGTTTAGTTTTTTTTTCTAATTTCGAGGCCTGTCCAAAATCTGTATCGAAAGTCAATATTCAATCAACTTTCACACAAAATACAATTACAATATTTTCTCTTGTTAGAAATGATGAGTTTCTTAGTAAAAAAAACATTAGTTACGGTGGAAAATTAACTCTTCGCTGACGCACTATTATTTCTTCATATGCTACTTTATTTTTATCCTACGCACAAAAACAACAGTTTAGTCAACAAATTAGCGATGGAAGTAATGAGATAAAACTATCAGTTGTATGTGAGATTTTGTCAAGCGCGAGAAACAAGAGAATGATCCGCATCAAAAGATTACATTTATCATCTCAGGAAACGTCGAGTGCGTTTTCTAAAAGTATTGCTATTTCAGTTTTATATAGCTGTATATTGCGATGCTATGTCGAACGTAAAGTGCTTCGATTAGTGCCTCATATAACAACAGGTTGTGCCAAAGAAAGAGAAAGAAAGCTGTGATGCTTGTTTTTCAGTAAAAAATATAAAACTTTCATACACTTCTGCATTCTTCATCTTGTGTGTAAAATGATGTAGAATGATATTAATTTTTTTTTATTATAAAGTGTCATCACACTTGAACGAATAAATGAGTGACTTTACTACTTTATTCGAAACTCTATAAGATTCTGTCAATACCAGATTATCTATCGATCTTTATATCTGACTATTGTCGGACAGATGCTGGTATTTAAATAAAATGACGTTTGTAAAAAAACATGTTTTACCATTTATCCAAAAAAAGTAAGTTCTATTTCCAAAGTGATATTTTCACGTTTTCAGCCCTGCATCTGAATAACCGGACAGATTCTCGAACCTTGTGAACTTGAGAATAGTTGACTGTGCTGCAGATTGATGGAAAAAAAACTTCACATCTTTTCAACACGTCAGCATTCATACTTTTCGGGCGATTAGTTTACAAGTAGAAATCTTTGCAATTAGAGAAATAAAAATTGTTGACCTGAACGTTGTTTTTCTTCTAGAAGTATTTTTCTTATTAATTAAAATATTGTCAAACTTTTAAATCGTATTTCATAAAACCAATCTGTTAATTTGAAAGACTCGACATTTTTATTGAAGAAACCAAGATGCAATGTATCACATTAGTTTTGAGAAAAATTAAGAATGTTGCTGAATGGAATGCTTTTAAAGATGCTGCCTGCCGTACGGATCCATTTCATTTGCGCACCGCAATCATTTCAGCTAGTGTCTATGTTGCTCTTCTGTCAATCTCTGTCATCATTTTTGTCACGTTCACCTTTTTAGACAGTTGAGCTCAAATTACACAACGTTTTCAAAAGACATTGCGATTTGTGCGAGTCAATATAACCGAGTTGAATCTGTTCAAAACTCCAACGATGCGGACAGATTCGTTCGAACTTACTACTTTGAAAATCTTGACTCGTATCTATATCATTCTCTTGTGCATACCTATGCGTAATATAATTCTTTTCACATGGTTAAATGGTTATCTAAAAAATATGACAGAAAAAAATTCGTCACAAGCCGCCTTTGAATACTTACAGAAAAAGTATTCAAGATCACTTCAATGCCCATGCAGTGAGATTACCATTCTGCATGGCTCATTTATATCCATGTTTCCTCAATTCATCCGGTGTGCACGAGTTCGTTTATATCTGACCAATGGATCGCCGTTTTATTCAGAACAAGTACGGTTGACATTCTCTCCATTACTACGGACATCTTTATAGTTGGACATAAATATTTTACTGTTCTGGTCGGTTTATGTAAACTGGTCCAAACAATTGTATTTGACGCATCGTTTATTTTCAAGCAATTACTGTTAATTATCGATCAAATATTATCAGATACCGAATTCATAATTCGTACAAACCAGACATTCAATCAATTCAAGTCAAACACAATATCTGAATTCAAAGGTACTCTTGCAAGGATTTAGTCGTTGACAACGACTGTGTATACAGCACGAGAAGGAGATGTCACATGAAATCAGTCTTCTTGGATGAATAGAACAACAATGATATATTTTCAATCAATAACAGTTCAAATAGTTTAACTATACTAACTCAGCCAACCTTCTTCCACTCGGCGTGAAATTCACTCTCCCTAGTATGTTTGTAGGTTGTTTTCCCATTCAATCTCTTTCCCAATCATTACTCGAATGTATTTTTAATCAAACATGTTTGAATACTGTGCAAGTCAAAATGAAAATACTTCCCCATGCGACTTTTAACCCGTTGATTAATGTAACGATATTACAAATAAATTCTACGAAGTTTTCTCCTAGCACGTCTGTTCAAGAACTAATTAATAAAATTATGATCGAGAGCTGGGATGATAATATTTTCTACAATCAATATTATGCGCAATGTGCGCCAAAACATTGTTCTTATTTTATTACGTCAAGTAACAATGCACTCTATGTATTCACTACAATGATTGGTTTGTTTGGTGGATTATTCGTTGCTCTTAAAATTCTCGTTCCGTTAATTGTTGGTTGGGTACGAAATAAGATGTGCGTCAGAACCGAAACTATTAATGTGACAAGTAAGTCGTCCGAAAATAATTCAAAGGATGAGGATGAGCGAGTAGTACTTGTGAGAATTAGTTCTATTCTTCTACTTAAAAAGCAAAATAGCATCGACATATTTGATAAAGAAACTGTTCAATGAAATGAACTCACGCTCGTATCTTACGACTACGTAGTACATATCAGAAGTTGCTTCGTTTTTTTAAATTTCAGTTTCATTTACATGTCATGAGCGTGCACATGCTCTTTGGCGTTGGATTAAAAAGAAGACCGTATCTACCTTCTTCTTCTCACTTTTGCTATTGGAATTATCGTCGTTTATGCTATAGCTATTGATCAGACTCAAACTACCATAGTGAAGAATCCTTCTCAAACGCGTTTTGAAAAGCTCGTATCCAATCAAGGAAACTTGCCCACACTCGATTGTCCTTGTCAAAACATTTATATTCTATACCAGTCCTTTATGTCGATCTCTCCACATTACCATCAACTTTGTTCAAGTGATTTTGTCGTTGAAAATAGTTCATGAATCAATTTCGTTCATTACAAATCAGATCCTGTCAACTAATCGCATGAAGATTATCGCCTTTTTGTTCTACCTCATTTTCGATTGCTTTATCACTTGTGTGCTTTAGCTAATGACGCGCTTGTTGAGGTCTTGCGTATATTCCATTCAAACAAACTCATCAGTAAACGAGCATTGTTGCGTCAAGTTGTTGAAGCACAAGTGAAATCGGTGGTTAATCAGTTTCGTCTATCGATAACACAAACATTTATACGTATGCTCGACTTTATTCGGCAGATGGTTCAAAGAAAGGGTTTAGTCTCATCTATTTCCTTCAACTGGTTTGTCCTACCACCGTATATAACAACAACTGTGGTAGCGATAGGATCTCGGTCATATAGCGTCAATAATTATTCATGTGGTACAAACTCCATGTGCGTATCGTCTGCAGCTATTGATACATGGAAAGTGCCTGGCTTTTTCGTTGGATGTTCTCCACTCGAATGTTTATATATATATGACGTGTCATGCACTAATAAATTAAAAATGCCGAATCAATATTCAAATATAACCATTCGTCCTCTCGATTATACTCTCTCGTCTCCTAATGTTACTGTTCAATCTCTTGTGAATTTACTTATGGTCTATCGATGGGAACAGAGAAATATCATCTATGAGCAATATTATGCATCATGCGCACCGTCCATATGTACCTACCGAACGGGTCAATCCAATATACCTAATTACTATAATTGTTGGTGTTCTTTCTTCTCTCATTCACACCCACTCTTTTCATCTAAGTCCCAAAAATACGCTTCACACATATTCTGAGTCAGGGCTTTCTATTTACGCGAGAATATCTGGTAAATTCAACTTACAGTACTGTTAGGGCGACATCACGTCGTCCTGCTCTCTCTTCATCAGATTCTTTCTCGCCTTGGTCCTCGTTCGTGTATATGTACACCGTTTTCTGTATTAAACAGTAGTTAGAGAATAAACTCGGACGAAGATCGTCCACACTACCATCTCCCGTCATTCTCTCTAACAATTGGCGACCCTGGACAAAAACAAAGAAAACAAAAGACACGCCGCCGATATATGTNAACAATTCTGTGTTCTCTGGCTTGCTTTAGTGAACATTTTTTTTATACATCATACTTTTCGATTTTTATTAAAATGATGTTTATGTTATTTATTCTTCTTCGATGTTATTAGTACTGCATTTGTCAATCTAATAAACGGTTGTTCGATAAGACAATACCAGCAACATGCAACTGCTTCTGATATAATCAAGACCAATGGAAAACAAATGAGTGCAGCTGTATCAACATGGTAATTGATGAGTTTTTTCAGTGGCGTACGACCAACCAGATCAAATGCAAGACGCCAGTGAATTAAATAAACCAAATAACTTAGTTTTGAGAACGGTTTGAAAAATTTCGAAGATAAAAATTGATTTAAATATCCGTTGTAATAGACGGATTTTTCATCCACCAATGTTGTATACAAACTGTATGCTATAGCAACTGAGAGGAGTTGTCTTACTGAGCAAATTAACACTATGGGTGGCCTTGGTAAATCCATGCTTGGACGTGTGCTAAATAACATTATACATAAGCACAGGGATAAAGCCCAATAGAGATACTTTTTGATTCTATTGCCGTTGACAAAGTTTTCTTTTTTATTAATTAATAACTTAACAGCCAAAATCGAGCCAGTTATGAAACTACCAAAGCGCATATGAGAAGCAAGGTAAAACTTCATAAAGTTTGACAACCTCTCATGATCAATCGAATGCGAATCATTTTGCGGAAGTGGTAAGTTATAAGTGTCAAATAACGCTTTCGATGTTTCAAAAGTTATGTGATCAAGTGGATGCACTTGCACGCCCATCTTCACCACCTCTATTGATGAATCAAAACAATAATAGCAGATGGCGACAGATAGCAGAAGCACGCCAATTAAAATTCGCATGATTTGATTTAAGGTTAATTTATATTTAATCCACAATTGTCGAAGTATTAGAGACAGTACAACATATACATGGAAATCGAGACAATTTGACCAGTGGACATGTAATGTATAAAACCAATGATCAAGGTTGGTATAATTCAACAAGAATAGCAGATGAACGAGATAGTTTGAGACCGTAGATTTCAAATTATGTGGATAAGATTGTTCCAGATCACCGAATACATACATATATAGGAACATCAATATCAAACCAGGATAGTAGCGAAACGAACGTTTCAAAATGAATGTAAAATAATTCGTCTCATCATTGTCCTTATTCGTTAATATCGAGTCAGTTAACAAGAAACCACTTATGACGAAAAATATCTCCAAGCTATTGATAAAAATGGTCGACAGGATGCATGTATTTGATTGAAGGTAATCAAACCACTCTTTGGCTGGATACATTGGGATGAACGTAACAAATAGATAAGAAACATGTAGGTAGACAATGGATAAATTCGCCAATGCTCTCAGACCATCGATGGACGAAAAGGAGTTTGATTTAAATAAGGAACGAAAATCTTCTTTTACTTGAAATATTGACATTCTAAATCATGTATTGTTTGGAAAAAATATGGGGTAGATCCATGGGTATTCTACACAATTTGGAAAAGTTTTTTTCTCGATTTTTTCTTCAGCCAATAACGGTTTTTACAATGTTCAGATCTTTCTATGGAAAAAATTAAAAAAACAACAACTTTCAATTCGTGTAAGATGCTGATAAATCTATCCTATGATTATGTTTAACGATCCGTAAAACGATTATGTACAAAAAGTTTCAATTCGAGAGATTTCGTAACAAAGACTATCGTAACTAATCGTCTTCACTTTGTGAATTATTATTCCCATATTTTTAGTAAAGTATGGCACAAGAGTTTCTATAGCTGAGAATATAATGTTGTAGAATGGTATGCATTTAAATATTGAGTGAGATGGAAATTTAGTCTTGAGAACTTACCGCAAATGAAATAGAATTCCTTGATGTACGCGCTACCAATAATATATAGGCCAAAGAAAAAAATAGACGTTATGTAGAGGTTGACGAGCGAAGAAACATACGACGTTTTTTCTTTCTTTCAGCGTTTGAAGCAATGAATCTATGCTATTTTACTCTCTGTTTTTGCGTTCTGTACTCTATATAAAAACAAGTTATGAATATATAGGAGAGAAAATATTTTTATTTCTTACGAATAAGCGCACTACACAGAACACACATGAGCAACTGGTTTTTCTCTCGTTCTATATATTTGACTTGATTTTATGTAGAGCACAGAGCACAAAAACGATGATGAAAAAACACAGATATTTAATGAAACGAATACATTCGTGAGGATGAAACGAAAATTTTTAATGATTGGAATCGATAGAGCTGATCAAGTTGTACTTGGAACCAGTGTTGGTTCGATTGGAACCTATACTGAAACGAGTCGGTTCAAGAAATTGTCGACTCCTGCCCGAAGGTATCTTACGGTTTTCATCGTCGTCTTATATCTAATCTTGTAAGAGATACTTATTTTTTCTTCATTTGATAAATTCTTCTGCATCAAAACACTCCTTATCGCACAACATTTTTTTACATACATGGCACAACCACTTATCGTTAGCATTTGTCAATTGAATTATTATTATCAAGGCTTCCAAGCTGAACTGAGCTTAGTCACATCGCTTCTAGCCGTTCTCCATCGTCATGATTTCGAAATAAAACCAGTGAGCATGAATCGTGACAGTGTTCTTTATGTTTGTACTCATCGCGGATCAGGTGTTNTAATTGATTGTGGTAATGTCGTGATAATAATAATAAAAACTTGAGCAGTTAACATATGTAACACTTGCCTATCTGTGCGTCGATTGATTGGATTATTTTTAGTTATTCTTGTTATTGTTTGACAATGCTCTCGAATATTACGTAAAGTAAGTAAACCGAAGAAAGTCATAAGAAACGATGGACAAAATGAATACAAAGTCATATACCAAATCACGAGAAATGAACGATGAATTTCATTGTCTGAATTACAACTCGGTGCAAGATTTCCCGATTGATTTGGTGTATATTTGATATTCATATAAACAATCATATGACTATAGCAAATAGGAATGAATAGAATAATAACAAAAGTTGTTCGTTTGGCTGTTTTTAATGAACTTATTTGTCGAATATGAACACTTTTTGAACTGTGAAAATATCGATCAATACAAGCGATGGCAATTAACCAGCAAGATATGGTACGTACTGAATAAAATGCAAAATATTCGATTTTACATATACCGATATAATAATAGGCTAAGTCTATGTTGAAACTATTTGAAAGGATACGTACAGGTATGATAATTATAACGAAAAATAAATTAAAATATGTTGACGATAAGAAATAAAATGAACATGGTTCATTACGTAAATTTGGTCGAGTGAAGACAATTATATTAAGAATAAGACCAACTAAACCAAATACAAATGCCAAACATAACAAAACAAGAACAACTGTTGTTGTTGCTGTGCTTAATTGATTAATTGCAATGTTAACAGATGACATACTTGCCGAAATGAAATTCTATTGAAATGATTCGTGATATTCTACAGAAATATTTTCAGTGCGCATGATAAGCCAACAAAAATGATAATTAGTGTCAGTTTATCCTACACAAGCTTTCACGAAGGATTAAAATGTCAGTTAAGAATAACGTCACAGATTAAATCAACATAAACTTTTGTTTTTCTCTCTACTCAAAATACTATGAATAAGAAAAGAATTTTCGAATAACATCCTTTCAATCAGTTTCATTTGAAAAGAAAATTGTATGTCTGATAGTTAATCAACTTTTTAAATAAGTATTTGCACAGAAAATTATTATTCTGTATGTTTCCTCGTTTGGTATGCTTGATAAAATCACAAAGATTCGAGTATGATTTAAATGATATTTATTCATTAGAAACACTTCTACAATTAAAGTTCATTTTGATTCCAAAGTACTTTCAATATTAAATTCATTTCTTCTTATTTCGAAATTCTAAGTCCGGCTCAAACTACTTCAATATAGATGGATCGTCCATATCATTCAGTTTACGAAATGTTTGTCCTTTGGAAAAAATCCTGTCTCTTCCCAATATCAGATGTGAAAAAACTGCGAGTACACAATTCACCAAGGCAATATTAGTTTTTTTCACTATTACACTCTAGACATTTCCAGTTTCATTAAATCGTACCTAGCATCGATATTTCGGAAGAATTTATTTCAATTTTTGTTTCTGAACGCTTGAACATAGAAAATGTATTAAACAATTAACAATCACTATTAGAACACTTGTAGACATGAAAATAAACTTCACTAAACCAGCATAACAAGCTAAATTCATGACGGCATCATGTCGATTTGGATAGATTTCCAGTACATATCTCTCGGCAAGATTTTCAACGTATTCGAAAATCATATATAGAAATGGTCCAACTATGTATCGATGTCCTTTGCCCATCGACAGATTTGACAGAGACAAGGAAACAAATAGTAAAACTGGAAAAACGAACTCGGCATTATTCGTCTGTCGATAGGCGCGTCGACCATCGTCACCCAGATTAAAAAGAGTTTGATAACCTTCATCTGGTGTGTAATAAGTCATCGTATCAAGGATCGGTGGCGTTCCATTGAAACCAATAGATGCTGCATATTCTTTTAACGGTTTCACACACAGATAAAAATTGAATATTGTCAAGAACCATATCAGCGAAACGGTGTATCGATTAGCCCAAGGTTTTAAGATACAATAAAGTTTCTCCATTGCAAGTGAGTGCGTATGTTGTGTCTATTTATGGAGAACTGATAAATATTCACTTTTACACGTGATCATTGATAAAAACATTTTTCTTTCTTTGACGAGTATTGAAAAGAAAGAGAAAAACAGTCGGCGGTCTTCATTCAAGCAAACAAACAACCGAAGGAGAAATGGAATGTGGGTGAGAGTGACGACATCAATCTCGAGATGAGTAAATATTTCTAATAAGAGTTTCGAAAATTTTCTGTGCTTTTTTCAACGATAATTGTTCATCATACATAACATTTGAAGGTCATACACAGAGTGCAAACCATAACCATAATGGCGACATGGAATATTCACCACATCTGTAATCAAATATGTGTGCAAAGAGAAGAAAAATATATTGTAAAGTTCGTACTTCAAGCATTTGTGATTACAGATGACTTCATTACAATTCTTGTGCTAGTTGTTTGAGGTAAAACTTATTTTTAATAAACTAGCTATATAGCAATCAAGAATAAAGAAAAATAATACAGAGTCTTTTGATATTTTGTTACCATACGACGCATTTGTTCTTTCGACTATTTCCCTGGCCTGGTTTACATTGAAATGCATGATCAAATTCGGCAAAGTTCGACGTTGAACCAATGACTCTACACAAAGAAATGAAATGTTTTGCACAGGTCACGCCAAAAGAGCAACCTGAATTCAGTTGGTGAATGCGGATCGATCAAAATATATTTCTTCGCCATTTGATCTGTCAACTTTGAGCACCAAACTGAACCAAAACTCAAGAAAAACATCTGTTCTGCAGAATATTTTGTTAAACCCGGTAGTTTCTTATCAATCTTTTTATTCATGCTTGACCATTTTTGATAAGCCTAAAACATCTGGAAACGATACTTAAGTTCATTAAGCGCCGAACTTACATAAAAAGCTTCTTTCAATCCGCCATTATCAGCAATATTTTCACCCAATGTTAGTTTTCCGTTCAACTACATCAATTCTATTTACAATTCTTAATTACACATAGAATGCTTACTCCCATACTAATTTGAGCTACTGAATAATTGTCGTACTGATCGATCATGCATTTCGTCAAGTTGATAAATCTGTTAATCGTGTTATTCGTCCACCAAGGAAGTCTATTGCCATTTTTATCAAACTGTCGACCAACGTTATCAAAACCATGTGTTAATTCATGACCTACAACTGTACCAATACCTACAAATTCGAATAGGCATGAACATCTCTCGAACGGAATGTCAACTGACCACCATAATTCAAATATCTGAACAAATAAACATTCAATTTTAAGTAAAACTGACAACTTCATTTTACTTCGGTGCATCTTTATGAAAAAAAGGCGTTTGAAGAATAGCGGCAGTAAAAGCTAGAATAGAATAGCTAATTAATATCATTGAATGGATTCGTTGTTCGATTTACTAATATCATTAAATGTAAAACGATAATATGCATTTACATCGCTCGGTAGAATGTATTCCCAGACTTTTCGATCGATAGATTCACGAAGTTTGTGAAGACTATGCTTAACATTTAATTGTAGCATTAATAACACATTCTGAATATATGACGAATTAAATTTATACTAAATCCAAAAGATATAATTCGCACACAAAGATATTCTCTATACTTTGCCGTATTTTTCTTCCAACTCTGTTATATTGTCGCCATTCAATCCATTAGGATATCCAATTCTTTCAGTTATCAATCGAGCCTATGTAATTATCCACATTTTTCAATGGAAAACTGTTCATTGCTCAACATACTTTTTCTATTGCAACGCTTTTCGAGTCAGCTTCCATCCATATGGCTTGGTTAATCATCTCAGTGAAAGTCAATCGAATATTTTCGATCATATCAATTGCCTAAATCAAATAAGGATTTACAAAAGAAAAGATTATTATATAATTAAGAAATTCACTTCTTGCCGAGCCGTTTCATCGAATCTTTTCTTAATATAAAGTCTGGATACTATCATACCCATATTTTTATTGATATAACTGGCACATGTATGTGAACGAGGATTCTCCACAGTTGAACCTTTGGTAACGCGTCGAAATTCTTGTTTCAAAGAACGAAACCGTTTTGGCATGTGGTCAATGTGATTCATGACAAAACGCCAAATGAAATAATTTTGAATAGTATGAGGAGAGTTTTGTTCGAGTATTTTCGCAATATTCTGCAAAACTTTCAATTCACTAATGTTGATTATATCTGTATCGACAAGAGTCACATTTCCAAACAGATAAACACGTTGGAGATATTCAGAAAAATTGAAATATCTCGATGTGTTCATTAACATCGATAGATTACTGAAAGTTGTACGATTGAATAGTAAACCAGACCGTTGAGTTTTGCTCCAGAAAGACTAAAATGAATTTATGTAATCGCGTATTGTTCACAGACAAGTCCATACTTGAGCAAGAGATTTTTCAAAGTTAAATATCTCATCAATATCAGTATTATTTATCGATGTATGATTATCGAACGTCAAAATAACATTTCTCATGAACTGTCGATAACTTTTTGTAATTGATGTGTCATTCATATAATAACTCGGATCTTCCAGACCCAAATTACCTTGACCTATCTAGAATATACGCATGAATACAATTCAAACGACTTGTTTCCGTTATCTTTACTAACATAAATAGAAGGAATTGACGAATTCTTCTGATCGATGTATGTCAATATATAGAATAATGTAAATTCATTGTATTGACTCAGAGCAACAGATACGTTCATCAAACTATATGTTGATTCATTCCATTTTACTTGTTGTAGAATTGGCCACCCACCAAGTTCATTTTGTATTAATGAAAGTATTCCACGAATATCATCTCTTTCAATATTGCTTTCGTTAACACATGAAGAATATAAATTGCGAATATTCTGGACCGAATTCAGTTCAATTGTTTCATTAATAGACGGTGTTGAAAGAAGATCTAATTGTAATAAGTCATATGAAATTATCATAATATTGAATATGAAACTTGTTTCTTCTTACCGATAATATCATAAATGACTTGAGTTTGCAGTGTGCTGAATGTACTTAGGAGACCATCTAAACAAAGACAAATAATAAATTAGTTGTGCTATGATGATATTTACCATCTTCCGGTATGCGAGCGTTTCGAATCCATTTACCGCAAGCAAATTTATAGAAATTTTCACATGGATCAATAGTTTCATCGATACTTTCAAGTAAATAGTGCGCTAAAACGAGAGGAAATGGACTTGATTCAGTAATTGTAGAAAAGTACACTAACCTGTTTTGATACAGTACGGAGTTGTGCAGAGATCAGCTGAATCGTTTACTAATCGATAAACACGTGTTATATTTCGTTGGAGACCATATAGAACAGCTAATATAGTTGTGGCGACAATGAAGAGTACTGTTGCAATACCGAGCGATACTACAAACCGTTTTTTCCATTTGAGCAATTGTCTAAACATGCTGTTCGAAAAGTTTCTTGCTTTATATTTGAAAGTATCTCTCACTGCTTAGAATCGTTATGTTCCATAGACGTATTGATTAAATGAATAATCTTTTCTTCATACAACTAGATGTAAAATGAAATTTAGAGTTGTCCTTTTTCGTACATCCTGACTTTTAATGTTGCTTATCGTAAATATCATCGGCTTGATTAGAAAAACGATATTTTTGCATGAAAAAAAAAACAAATTATTTATGAATGTGAGCGTGTAGGCCGATTTGACTTGGAATAAAAAGTAAGCGAAACGAAACGATAGGAAATCGACTTTCCACGAAGAAAATCATCAAAGGAAAGACCGTCTAGTTTGTGTTTGGAACGTTCCATTGCCATTACCAAACACCAGAGTGACGTTTGTTTTGCCCAGTTCGTTGCTATAATATCCCAAAATCAGATCAGCTCGATTATCACTGTTCAAATCGGCAACGTGAATCCACAACTTGTCCCGCTGAAAACATGAACACTTGCTATTTCCCAGTAAGACATGCACCATTTCAGTTCTATCACAATGATAAATCAAATCAATGTGATTGTGAGCAGTCACATCCGTAACACCAACTGCACATGAACTTATGAATGAACATGATGAATTAATCAAAACTTGTTCATATTTAAGCAGACACAATGGCTCTAAACGAGCATACAAATCAAAGTTCAAAGCTACACTTTGAATTGTTTTCATGCGAGATTCTTTTTACTACGTAGTCACTCGGAAATTGACGTGATGCATTTGACGTTGTAGTGAAATTATCACTGATCGGTACATCGGTTGTTGCCGAGTAGTCTACGAAACAAGGACAATCGAGTCAGATTCGACTGAATCAAGTTCCATTTTAGTTGTCGCTATTACCAAAATCCATGGATTGTTTTCAAAGTAAACGTGAAGATTGTTTTATACCTTTTTGACATTGGTAGAAGAGGTAGGGTCTTTCCCACTTGCTTTTGTATGGGTAATAGATCGAGAAACAACTAACAAGAGTCGAAGGAAGAAATGACTGGCTTGGGATACAACCCACTTTCATACCATTGACAGGTGCTCTTGAAAAATTTCTTTCAATGAAAACGGCTTGAATTGTACAAGTTGATGATGCGCCACAGGAGCGTTCGTCATCGTACTTTATTGGTCTTGTCACCGGATGAACTCCGATATTACTGATCATTGTAGGCATGTATTTGAAATTTGTTGCATAGGTTGAGATAAAAACGTTCTCATGGAATATATTCTGTGAGAACTGTTTTTGGATAGGAGATCAACAGTGACTAGCAATGATGTTAAAAATTGATGGATCGTATTATTGACTGATTCCATGGAAAGTCGACACAGTTCCTGAAAATACTGCAAATGAGCGGAAAGAAATCGTCGATAATCTGTCTGTATGTATTTAGTTAAGTTAGGAATGGGTCCATTTACTAAATTAAGCCGCCATTCTTCTGATACAAGTGGACTCTTGCAAACCTACGAACAAATCTATTCACCAACGGTATCACCCTCGGTTTTATCCTACTCGATGGAATATTGGTTCGATCTGGACAAATTGGTCATATTTCGATGCACCACCACAATCTACAACAATAAATCTTGNGCATTTGTCAATTGAATTATTATTATCAAGGCTTCCAAGCTGAACTGAGCTTAGTCACATCGCTTCTAGCCGTTCTCCATCGTCATGATTTCGAAATAAAACCAGTGAGCATGAATCGTGACAGTGTTCTTTATGTTTGTACTCATCGCGGATCAGGTGTTGATATTAATAAACTTCATCAAGAAATGACGCTTCACGTGACGGCTGCAGGAAAAACACCGAATCAAGGTATCCAATGGACATTCGCTTAACTGATTTCACACTATTCATATTTTCCAGTGAATTCTCACTAAAATCGTCGACTGTTAGATTTTGAGAAAATAAACTAAATCACACATTGTAATGTGACGACAGAGCGAAGTTCGAGTGAATTTTAGGGCCTATTCTTGAATACCGATCTTTAATCCAACGGAAATTTTCTTTCGAGAGACGCCTCAAACGACGTTGATTTCAATGTTATCTTCGTGTTTTCTATAAACATGAGTTCAGGAGTGAATAGAAGAACGCAGTTATTCTCGATTGAAAGCAAAATGAAGAGAGAGGTTAAGATTTTTCTTTTTTCCAACAGCACTTCATCATATTCGCACTATGCAAATGGGAAGATTGAGTTTTTGACAAATTCAACTCATTGTCAATATCTATCTTATTCAAAAAATCAACAAAACTGTATTTCGATAGATAAAAATTTCCTTCAAATGCCAACTTATGCGTCTTTTCTATCAATTAAATTAGTAGTAATAGCCAAATTATTTGAATCATTCGAATGCTACTGCTTTTCTTCTTTTCATAGTCAACTTGTATATCTTTCGGCAAGATAGAAAACGTAGATAATAGCAACAAAAGCAAGAATTTTGACACTTTTTCATTACATTATTTCGCATAATATTTAACTTTCTTTCATAGTTCTTTTTTATATGTACGTGGATACTTTATCTCTGTAAACAATCCGTAATCGTTTTTAGCCAGTTACAAGACAACAGCCAGCAAATATTCGATATGTTCAATATCAAATTCTATCGTAGAACTTAAAGAGCTCATTTTAAATTCGATGAAAATAGGCAGCCATTCAGGGTGGCCAAATTCGAAATTCGGGAAGGATGTTAAGTGATATTCAAAGGTGGAACACAAAGCGGGATACTTTTAAATAAAAATTTCCTAGTGTAAAACTAAGTATGATGTCAGAAATGTACTAGTACTCGAAAGAATAAACGAATTGTTCGACTTTATCTTTATTAATTTCAAGTTTTGAAGGATTTAGATTCGAATAAATGTACGTGAGGAATGAAAAACAAATAACACATTGAAAATATGATCATTAATTATTGATTGTAGCGCGCTTTTTTACAAACGGATATTTTGGGCTTGATCGACGATTTCGAAGTAAATCAAATTGATTTAAAATGTGTTGAGAGAACTCGGTACAACCGATCCAACTATTCATTCGAATTTTCAATTCACCACTGACTAATTCTTTGCACATGAGATTTCGCAAAGCCGTTCAACAATGTTTCAAACGACTGAATATTCCTTTAACATACGCATTGGAACATGGAATAGATAAAGTATGTAAAATGAATCCCTGAAGGCGTTGGCATTTGCCATTCGTTTTGGAAAACATAAGATCAGAACCAAATCTGGACGAATATACATATTTTCTCTGTTCTCTTTGTAGAAAAACCGTCGGTTATCGTTGTCACTATCGCTATGGTATCGTCATCAATTATCCATTCACCTTTACCATCGGTAATTTCTTCGGTAAGTTTCGGATTGATAAAGACACGAACTTGTTCGAATATTGTTTCTCGATACTGCTTCAAATCCTTATATATCGATTGGAGAATAATCAGTTCGTCAAATAACATATCAAGATCAACTTTGATCTTCAATGCATTGACACAAGTCACTATTTTATTGAATGTGATTTGGTCTAGATCAACAATACCTAGATGAGACAAACGTATTGATTAGAACAACAAGTCTTGTTTCCCGTAATACCTAGTACAGAAACACTTTCACATAAACTACGATGTTCATCGTAATATTTATTGGCATAACCAATTATATTTTGTATATAGGCGGTAAATGAATCGAGCAGCTTTTGTTTCGCACGGAGTCCAACTGAATCAAGGAGATCACCGGTATTCTGTCCAAAATATTTTCTTTTCAATCGACTGTGTAACTTATGCATTAGACTATTGATGATTCAGCTTACATCAATAATTGACATAAGCAAACTGAACCATCAAATGTCAATGTGTTCCAGTAGTACCTAAATATGACGTTGTTTGTTATTGATTTAACCTCACGAAGCCACTTACTATATAATCCTGCTGCCCAAAATCGAAATATTCTTTGAGTTTTTCCACTCGTTTAACTGACCGTGAGAAGTGTGAATATAGTTTTGATAAAATGAGTTCAACATCGATGGGCAATAAGTCATGCGAGTTTTCACTGCATTGTTGAGAACATGTGCAAAACAGTTTCCCAGAAAGAACGATGCAATTGCATTCAAAATATTTTCAAATCATAACTTTGATCAAATCTGGCTGTTGCTGCCGAATGAGAGTGAAGACAGAATGATTGGCTCCAAAGTTTACATTTGTGTTGCCTGCACCACAAGATGTTAGAAATGTCATTGTCGAGATCGTTCGCTTCCATAGCTTGTTGAATACCGTGGTCAAGAGAGAAATAATTGTTCACGAAAGGAAACGTTTTACAGTTGCCCTTATTACTTGCATCAAATGAGATTGAAAAATATCGAGTATGTTTTAAATCATTTTATATTTCACTCGTGAAAAACGGTGCTGCAAGCAAGAAATCTTATTTACCAAGAAAGACAGCACAAGATCTTACCAAGTACATTCATAGAGATTTCTTTCGGTTTGGTCTTTCCGCACGCCATATGTTTTACGATGGAATTACTATTCCAAATGAATTTAATTACATCAATTGTACAGGACAAACTTCGGTAGCTATGTCCGTGTTTAACTGCATGAAAAACAAGTGCTGCTTCTATGCTGCTATTGTTCGCTGAAGATCAGAAGACTGAGGAAGATATTCTCGTATTTCACGACCTGCAACAAGAAACAGACTGCTGGCTTTACGAATTTGAGAAAATCTATCTCACTTTATCGATAAAATGAGAGTTCAAGTAAAATTGAAAACAACCGCTAGAACTATGAGCTTTGGACAGTGTAAGCGTCTGCAAAGATGTGATAATGAGTCATAGATAGTGTCTCGAAAAATTGTTGGATTCCAGAAAATTCAATCATAAATACATATTCTATCTTTTTTTATAGATATCTATATTTCAAATGAATCAATCACAAATTAAGACCAGTGTTCTAGTAGAAATTTAAAAATATTCAAAAGGGGGGCATTGTCCCTCCAAAATGGGGACAGTTGACCACCCTGACCACAACAGCAACTTTTCCATCAGAAGTATAGGGTCGCACTTAGATTAATCCATAGATGTCCATTTGTATCAGCAAGCAATATTTTCTCTCTAACGAAGGAACAACCTTTAAAATTCTATGTTAAGAAGTATATTATGAAAAGGCTTTAAAATATTCATACAACGATATTTTCTTCTGGGATGACTTCCACAAAAGAGAAAAAGATGATATGAATCAATTCTTTCGAACTCAACGAGTAAAGAAACTGGTAGAAAATCACGAATCCTTGCCCTTGAAGTGATTGGCACTGTTGAAGTAGAAAGATTTGAATAAATGTCAGAATTCCAATTGTTTAGTAAACGCACCTACTCGCCCTTGTTTCAGCATTGGCTGTAGCTTCACCCAATTTTTCTTTGTCTTTTCAAAGTTTATATCCTTTCAGTTTTCTTCTTAAAACCACACTCATAGATAGCTCGATCATCGTTCCAACCAAATTGTGAGGAAGTCGGCAACTCTCAACGTAAATCTTGTACCTTACTGCTTAGCCGCTTAAATTCTTCTCGTACACCGTGTAAGCACTTCCGAGTGTGACAAATTTCAGCATAAGAAAAAAAAGCGCTGCTGATGTTGATTGTACGAAGTGACGACGTCGAATGACTGAACAAATGAATTGCTTCACTATTTATAGTCTAACATGAGATTGATTCATATCAGTTTATCTTTTGTTTAGTCAAGACTACTTCCTGTCAATGTCATTGATCAATGACAATAACCATATGTAACTCTTCACTCATCAAGTGTTCCCCTTTCGACACCTTATTTGTCATCTATGATGTTCATTTACTGATATCCGGTTCTCAATACTTGTAAAAGATAGTAGTGTACGTCCTTCTTTTCCTTCCTATCTGATGATTTACTCAGATACGATGGGATCAAATATAGGGATAACATGTTAGCCATTTGACAAAAATTTATTACTCATCATAATACATGGCATTGAAAAGTGGAATAACTTCAGAAAATCCATTTCTTGCATCATAGTCCAGTATACGTAACGTAAGTCAAACAAGCGTCATTACTCGGTTTTTTTCTAAACGTACGGTTTTAATCATATCTATTTATGGATTGGTTAAGGACGCTACTACTATAGAGGAAAAATAGAAATTCGTTTAACATGACAAACAATTATTGTTCTCAATTCACTCCTTAGCCCTTCCAAATGATGTTTTAAGCATTTTCAGAAAAAAATGGCTTTTAACCTTTTACCCTTGGCACAGACAAACACACAAACTTTTTTTTCATAGGAATCTACTTTCAGTCGAGAGAGTAATTCGAATAAATACGGCGAGTGCTTGGATGGCGGTGTAAATTGATTTTGCCATTCTCATCCCAAACTTACAAGTATGTAGTTCGACTTGATCATTGTGTATTCTTGTTTACACGTATCATTAACTTATAGATTTCTGAGTGAAACTGGAATATGACGCGATTTATCACCAACTACATGAATACGATTTCGTTGAAAACAAAAATATTGTCTAAAGAATTTGCATAGCTCTTTACGAAAAATTGTACCAGATATGGTAAATAAATAGAAGGTACTTGAATGAGTAAAAAACGTCAATCCACCGAGCGTTTTACTGGATAAATTTTCTTCAGCAAGTCGTAATCTATCTTTAACTAGATTTGCAGTAAACGTGATGTAAAGCTGATTAATTGATTGTGGTAATGTCGCGATAATAATAACAAATACTTGAGCAGTTAACATATGTAACACTTGTCTATCTGTGCGTCGATTGATTGGATTATTTTTAGTTATTCTTGTTATTGTTTGACAATGCTCTCGAATATTACGTAAAGTAAGTAAACCGAAGAAAGTCATAAGAAACGATGGACAAAATGAATACAAAGTCATATACCAAATCACGAGAAATAAACGATGGATTTCATTGTCTGAATTACAACTCGGTGCAAGATTTCCTGATTGATTTGGTGTATATTTGATATTCATATAAACAATCATATGACTATAGCAAATAGGAATGAACAGAATAATAACGAAAGTTGTTCGTTTGGCTGTTTTTAATGAACTTATTTGTCGAATATGAACACTTTTTGAACTGTGAAAATATCGATCAATACAAGCGATCGCAATTAACCAGCAAGATATGGTACGTACTGAATAAAATGCAAAATATTCGATTTTACATATGCCGATATAATAATAGGCTAAGTCTATGTTGAAACTATTTGAAAGGATACGTACTGGTATGATAATTGTAACGAAAAATAAATTAAAATATGTTGACGATAAGAAATAAAATGAACATGGTTCATTTCGTAAATTTGGTCGAGTGAAGACAATTATATTAAGAATAAGACCAACTAAACCAAATACGAATGCAAAACATAACAAAACAAGAACAACTGTTGTTGTTGCTGTGCTTAATTGATTAATTCGAATGTCAACAGATGACATACTTCCAGAAATGAAATTCTATTGAAATGATTCGTGATATTCTAAAAAAAATTTTCAATTCTCACGATAAGCCAACAAAAATGATCATTAGTGCAAGTTTATCCTACAAAAGCTTTCATGAAGGATTAAAATGTCAGTTAAGAATAACGTCATCGATCAAATCAACATAAAGTTTTGTTTTTCTCTCTACTCAAGATAATACGAATGAGAAAACGTCAGGAAAAGTCTTCGAGTAAACATCCTTTCAATCGGTGTCATTTGAAAAGAAAATTGTATGTCTCATAGTTAATCAGCTTTTTAAATAAGTAATTGCACGGAAAATTATTATTCTATGCGTTTGCTCGTTTGGTATGCTTGATAACATCGCAAAGATTCGAGTCTCATTTAAATGATATTTAGTCAGTAGAAAAACTTCTACAATTAAAGTTCATCTTGACTCCAAAGTACTTCCAGTATCAAATTAATTTCTTGTTATTTCAAAATTCTAAGTCCAGTTCAACTTCAGTTCACAGAATGTTTGTCGCTTGGAAAAATCCTGTCTCTTCCAAAATAGCAGATGCGAAAAAGCTGAAAGTACACAACTCGCCAAAGCAATATTATTGTTATTCACTACTACATTCTAGACATTTCCAGTTTCACTAGATCCTACCTAGCATCGATATTTCAGAAGAATTTATTTCGATTTTTGTTTCGGAACACTCGAACATAGAAAATGTATCAAACAATTAACAATCACTATTAGAACACTTGTAGACATGAAGATAAACTTCACTAAACCAGCATAACAAGCTAAATTCATGACGGCATCATGTCGATTGGGATAGATTTCCAGCACATATCTCTCGGCAAGATTTTCAACGTATTCGAAAATCATATATAGAAATGGTCCAACTATGTATCGATGTCCTTTGCCCATCGACAAATTTGACAGAGATAAGGAAAGAAATAGTAAGACGGGAAAAATGAACTCGGCATTATTCGTTTGTCGATAGGCGCATCGACCGTCGTCCCCCAGATTAAAAAGAGTTTGATAGCCTTCATCTGGTGTGTAATAGGTCATCGTATCAAGAATTGGTGGCGTTCCATTGAAACCAATAGATGCTGCATATTCTTTTAACGGTTTCACACACAGATAAAAATTGAATATTGCCAACAACCATATCAGCGAAACAGTGTATCGATTAGCCCAAGGTTTTAAGATACGATAAAGTTTCTGCATTGCAACTGAGTACGTATGATGCGTCTATTTATGAAGAACTGAGAAATATTCACCTTTACACGTGATCATTCATAAAAACATTTTTTTTCTTTGACGAGTATTGAAAAGAAAGAGAAAAATAGTCGGCGTTCTTCATTCAAGTACACAGCCGAAGGAAAAACGGAATGTGGGTGAGGGTGACGACATCAATCTCGAGATGAATAAACATTTCTAATAAGAGTTTCGAAAATTTTCCGTGCTTTCTTAACAATAATCACGCCCTCAACGATAATTGTTCATCGTACATAACATTTGAAGGTCATATACAGAGTGCAAACCATAACCATAATGCCGACATGGAATATTCACCACATCTAGAATCAAGTATGTGCGCTAAGAGAAGAAAAATATATTGTAAAGTTCAAACTTCAAGCATTTATGATTACAGATGACTTCATTACAATTCTTGTGCTAGTTGTTTGAGGTAAAACTTATTTTTAATAAACTAGCTATATAGCGATCAAGAACAAAGAAAAATAATGGAGAGTCTTTTGATATTTTGTTACCATACGACGCATTTGTCCTTTCGACTATTTCCCTGGCCTGGTTTACATTGAAATGTATGGTCAAATTCGGCAAAGTTCGATGTTGAGCCAATGACTCTACACAAGGAAATGAAATGTTTTGCACAGGTCACGCGAAAAGAACAACCTGAATTCAGTTGGTGAATGCGGATCGATCAAAATGTATTTCTTCGCCATTTGATCTGTCAACTTTGAGCACCAAACTGAACCAAAACTCAAGAAAAACATCTGTTCTGCAGAATATTTTGTTAAGCCCGGTAGTTTCTTATCAATCTTTTTATTCATGCCTGACCATTTTTGATAAGCCTAAAACATCTGGGAACGATACTTAAGTTCATTAAGCGCCGAACTTACATAAAAAGCTTCTTTCAATCCGCCATTATCAGCAATATTTTCACCCAATGTTAGTTTTCCGTTCAACTAAATCAATTCTATTTACAATTCTTAATTACACATGGAATGCTTACACCCATACTAATTTGAGCTACTGAATAATTGTCGTACTGATCGATCATGCATTTCGTCAAGTTGATGAATCTGTTAATCGTGTTATTCGTCCACCAAGGAAGTCTATTGCCGTTTTTATCAAACTGTCGACCAACGTTATCAAAGCCATGTGTTAATTCATGACCTACAACTGTACCAATACCTACAATTCGAATAGACATGAACTTCTCTGGAATGGAATGTCAACTGACCACCATAATTCAAATATCTGAACAAATAAACATTCAATCTTACGTAAAACTGACAACTTCATTTTACTTCGGTGCATCTTTATGGAAAAAAGGTGTTTGAAGAATTGCGGCAGTAAAAGCTAGAATGGAATAGCTAATTCATATCATTGAATGAATTCGTTGTTCGATTTACTAATATCATTAAATGTAAAACGATAATAAGCATTTACATCGCTCGGTAGAATGTATTCCCAGACTTTTCGATCGATAGATTCACGAAGTTTGTGAAGACTATGCTTAACATTTAATTGTAGCATTAATAACACATTCTGGATATATGAGGAATTAAATTTGTACTAAATCCAAAAGATATAATTCGCACACAAATATATATTCTCTATACTTTGCTGTATTTTTCTTCCAACTCTGCTATATTGTCGTCATTCAATCCATCAGGATATCCGATTCTTTCAGTTATCAATCGAGCCTATGTAATTATCCACACGTTTCAATGGAAAACTGTTCACTGCTCAACATACTTTTTCTATCGCAACGCTCTTCGAGTCAGCTTCCATCCATATGGCTTGGCTAATCATCTCAGTGAAAGTCAATCGAATATTTTCGATCATATCAATTGCCTAAATCATATAAGGATTTACAAAAGAAAAGATTATTATATAATATTAAGAAATTCACTTCTTGCCGAGCCGTTTCATCGAATCTTTTCTTAATGTAAAGTCTGGACACTATCATACCCATATTTTTATTGATATAACTGGCACATATATGTGAACGAGGATTTTCTACAGTCGAACCTTTGGTAACGCGTCGAAATTCTTGTTTCAGAGAACGAAACCGTTTTGGCATGTGGTCAATGTGACTCATGATAAAACGCCAAATGAAATAATTTTGAATCGTGTGAGGAGAGTTTTGTTCGAGTATTTTCGCAACATTCTGCAAAACTTTCAATTCACTAATGTTGATTATATCTGTATCGACAAGAGTCACATTTCCAAACAGATAAACACGTCGGAGATATTCAGAAAAATTGAAATCTCCCGATGTGTTCATTAACATCGATAGATTACCGAAAGTTGTACAATTGAATAGTAAACCAGACCGTTGAGCTTTGCTCCAGAAAGACTAAAATGGATTTATGTAATCACGTATTGTTCACAGACAAGTCCATACTTGAGCAAGAGATTTTTCAAAGTTAAATATCTCATCAATATCAGTATTATTTATCGATGTATGATTATCGAACGCCAGAATAACATTTCTCATGAACTGTCGATAACTTTTTGTAATTGATGTGTCATTCGTATAATAACTTGGATCTCCCAGACCCAAATTACCTTGACCTATCTAGAATATACGCATGAATACAATTCAAACGACTTGTTGCCGTTATCTTTACTAACATAAATAGAAGGGATTGACGAATTCTTCTGATCGATGTATGTTAATATATAGAATAATGTAAATTCATTGTATTGACTCAGAGCAACGGATACATTCATCAAACTATATGTTGATTCATTCCATTTTAATTGTTGTAGAATTGGCCATCCACCAAGTTCATTTTGTATTAATGAAAGTATTCCACTAATATCATCTCTTTCAATATTGCTTTCGTTAACACATGAAGAATATAAATTGCGTACATTCTGGACCGAATTCAGTTCAGTTGTTTCATTAATAGACGGTATTGAAAGAAGATCTAATTGTAAGTCATATGAAATTATAATAATATTGAATATGAAGCTTGTTTCTTCTCACCGATAATATCATAAATGACTTGAGTTTGCAGTGTGCTGAATATACTTAGGAGACCATCTAAACAAAGACAAATAATAAATTAGTTGTGCTATGATGATATTTACCATCTTCCGGTATGCGAGCGTTTTTAATCCATTTGCCGCAAGCAAATTTATAGAAATTTTCACATGGATCAATAGTTTCATCGATACTTTCAAGTAAATAGTTCGCTAAAACAAGAGGAAATGAACTTGATTCAGTAATTGTATAAAAGTACACTAACCTGTTTTGATACAGTACGGAGTTGTGCAGATATCAGCTGAATCGTTTACTAGTTGATTGACACGTCTTATATTTCGTTGGAGACCATATAGAACAGCTAATATAGTTGTGGCGACAATGAAAAGCACTGTTGCAATACCGAGCGATATCACAAACCGTTTTTTCCATTTGAGCAATTGTCTAAATATTCTGTTCGAAAAGTTTCTTGCTTTATACTTGAAAGTATCTCTCACTGTTTAGAATCGTTATGTTCCATAGAAGTATTGATTAAATGAATAATCTTTTCTTCATACAACTAGATATAAAATGAAATTTATAGTTGTCCTTTTTCGTACATCCTGACTTTTAATGTTGCTTATCGTAAATATCATCTGCTTGATTAGAAAAACGATATTTTGCATGAAAAAAAAACACCTATTTACTTATGAATGTGAGCGCGTTGGCCGATTTGACTTGGAATAAAAAGTAAGCGAAACCAAACGATAGGAAATCGACTTTTGACGAAGAGAATCATCAAAGGAAAGACCGTCTAGTTTGTGTTTGGAACGTTCCATTGCCATTACCAAACACCAAAGTGACGTTTGTTTTGCCCAGTTCGTTGCTATAATATCCCAAAATCAGATCAGCTCGATTATCACTGTTCAAATCGGCAACGTGAATTCACAACTTGTCTCGCTGAAAACATGAACACTTGGTATTTCCCAGTAAGACATGCACCATTTCAGTTCTATCACAATGATAGATCAAATCAATGTGATTGTCAGCAGTCACATCCGTAACGCCAACTGCACATGAACTTATGAATGAACATTATGAATTAATCAAAACTTGTTCATATTTAAGCAGACACAATGGCTCTAAACGAGCATACAAATTAAACGTCATCAAAGTTCAAAGCTACACTTTGAATTGTTTTCATACGAGATTCTTTTTACTACGTAGTCACTCGGAAATTGACGTGATGCATTTGACGTTGTAGATATGATCGCAGTAATTGTTGTTGTAGTGAAATTATCACTGATCGGTAGATCGGTTGTTGCCGAGTAGTCTACGAAACAAGGACAATCGAGTCAGATTCGACTGAATCAAGTTCCATTTTAGTTGTCGCTATTACCAAAATCCATGGACTTTTTTCAAAGTAAACGTGAAGATTGTTTTATACCTTTTTGACATTGGTAGAAGAGGTAGGATCTTTCCCACTTACTTTTGTATGGGTAACACATCGAGAAACAACTAACAAGAGTCGAAGGAAGAAATGACTGGCTTGGGGTACAACCCACTTTCATACCATTGACAAGTGCTCTTGAAAAATTTCTTGCAATGAAAACGGCTTGAATTGTACAAGTTGGTGATGTACCACAGGAGCATTCGTCATCGTAGTTTATTGATCTTGTCATCGCATGAACTCCGATATTACTGATCATTGTAGGCATGTATTTGAAATTTGTTGCATAGGTTGAGATAAAAACGTTCTCATGGAATATATTCTGCGAGAACTGTTTTTGGATAGAAGATCAACAGTGACTAGCAATGATGTTAAAAATTTATGGGTCGTATTATTGACTGATTCCATGGAAAGTCGACACAGTTCCTGAAAATACTGCAAATGAGCGGAAAGAAATCGTCGATAATCTGTCTGTATGTATTTAGTTAAGTTAGGAGTGGGTCCATTTACTAAATTAAGCCGCCATTCTTCTGATACAAGTGGACTCTTGCAAACCTACGAACAAATCTATTCACCAGCGGTATCACCCTCGGTTTTATCCTACTCGATGAAATATTGATTCGATCTGGACAAATTGGTCATATTTCGATGCTACGACTGAACATGTACATTTTAAGTCTTCACCATAGCGTTCTTTCAAATCAATGTAAAAAGCGAACTTTGGTTGATCAAAGTTTATTGTTGTAGGTTGTGGATCTCCATAGAATAATAAAATACTGAGACTTCCAGTAAATATTGGGTTGGCCAGAAAGTTTTTGCGTTTTTTTTGAAAATTTTCTTTTTATTTCTTAACTTCAAAAAATACAATTAGCTTTCAACAATGTAACCTCCATCACTGTCTATGACTTGTTGCCAACGTGTTGGTAAAGAAAAGATTCCATGTTCGTAGAAGTCTTGAGACTTTTGAGCGAAGAAGTTGGCCAGTTCCGTTCTGAGGTCGTTCTCGTCGTCGAATTTTTTCTCGCTCAAATAATTAGAAAGAGAACGAAACAAATGGTAGTCTGTTGGAGCCAAGTCAGGAGAGTAAGGTGGATGTGGAAGTGTAATCCATCCGAGCTTCAATAAT